ACGGGAATGGGATTTTTCAATAATTAATGGTCAAAACATTTGCATTAACAAACATTTACTTTAATAAGACATGACATGATGATGAATTACAAATATTTTTACATTTTTAAAAAAATATAATAACGACCCTCTTCTTTTTATTCTGAACATGGTTATTCTATTTAAATTAATAACAATAAAAAAACAACAACGGGTTCGTCTATGGTTACTATTGTTCTTGAATCCACCCTTTCCACCCCCTCGGCTTCGCTCAGTAAGTGTTCGACCGCATTTATGCGGGAGCCAAGCGGATTATTTACCCTGTTCGTGCGGGCTTCAATTGGCACGCCCGGTTGTGTAGTCGGCCGTCTGTCCTGTTCGGGCCGCCCCCTTCCAGGCAGAGGCGGTGAACACAGGGCTCCAGCGTGCCGTTGGATGCCGCCGCGCTTCCCGCGGGCCCACGGACTCCAGTCAAGCGTCAACCCAACCCTCAGGCAGCACGGTAGTCGATCGGCGATGAAATGTGGAAGTTAAACACAATTTCCCTCCGCAATAATGCTTCGAATGCTAACTTTGATTCTACCTGAGCAGCGAATTGAATAATCGTGACCGAACTATCGAATCGGAAGATGAACAAATTGGTTTCTCATGCCGAGTCAAAACATTCGGAGTGACTCTCTGGCCTGGTCCTACGAAAGAACGTCGCGAGCGAAAAAGTCAGTGTTATTGACGAGTGACTTCTCGTGGCCGTCTCAAGCCAACCAGTCTAATCGACCACTCCCGGCCGTCTCCAGCCAACTTGAAGGGGTTGTTCTGTTCTTTCCTTCTTTAGGGATTGGAATAACAATGGCTTCACGCCAAATCATTGGTAAGGAATGTTCGTCCCAAATGAAGTTGAAAATGCAGAGGAGAAAAGGAGATTTTCCGATAGGTGTTTAAGCATTTGATTATGGATCTGGTCAGTATATTGCCACTCGAGCAGGTCTTGTGGGCATTGAAGTCTCCCACAATAAGAAAAGGGGCGGTCAATTGAGAAAACACAAGTTCTTGATGTGACACGATTTCGCCAGGAAAGTATGTATTGCACACTGTTAGAGAAAATGACGGTAGGTGTATCCGAACGCATAGTTAGAAAGTTGGTTCGAACGTTTTGTTCCTCAGGGAACGGAGTGACGAATAAGTACCGCGACACCACTGTGAGCAGGGAGTCCGTCACCTTGATCAATCTGATAGATGTTAACCCATGAAGACAGGGGATTGTGGGGAAGAAGAGTTTCCTGAAGGCAGACTATAGATCGTTTATGGCGAGAAATTATCAATTTTAATTCTGATGAATGAGCATGAAAACAGTTAAATTCCACGAGAGAGCCAATGAAGGAAATTACTTACGCTTTTTTTTCGTTCTCACCTTCAGGAAAGTTGAGGAGGGATTCTCGTAGTGCTGCTCGTCAACAGCAGTCATCCGGACTGCTGATGGAGATAGTCGCCTGTGTCGGGGAGCTTATTTTTGCCATAGGCGACCGAGATGTACATGGGCTGAAGGATCGCTCAATGCGAGTCTCGGAAGTAGGAGGACGGGACTTCGGTAAAGAATTTTTGTTCAGAAGCGATATCTGACTTGAATCTATTTTCTTAATGGGTTAAGTGGAAGCGATCTGTGTCTGGTGGAGTTTTGGCTTGGTTTTCTAAACTTTGCTGGTATTATTACCTTTCCACCTTGCATGCACTCTTTAGCTGGGAAGTCTATAGGCGACACCTGACAAGTGCGCTACTAGAGCGAGAGCACGGTGAGTTAGACAACTTGCCGTTACTACCGAGGACCATCTTTAAATTACTAGAGAAGGATTGTGACAGGTGAACTGGATTTCTAGGCCCTGGTGCCGACGTTTGGCCTCAGGGAAGGAAACCTCTTCGGTGACTATCTTCTAAATCTGTCTCCCAGAGAAAGATAGGGCAATGGTTGTAGTTGGCTGGTCACCTTCACAATTGAATCTGCGGTGAAGAAGCGCAGGAATGTGGATCGTGCACTGATGCACCGCACTTCCCGACATACATCGTTGCTGGGTATGCCCAAACCTTTGACACTTAAAACAGCGCAAAGGATTTGGTACACTGTCGCACGTGGAGGTTGTAGAATCCACAACTGATCCTTTCGGGGAGGGACGAACGGTCAAAGGTAAGGATCAGAGTTGAAGTAGGGATCACTTTTCTCTTAATTCCATGAACTTCAGTTACACCCTGACTCTTGAAAAATGAAAATAATTCATTTTCTGAAGCAAAGTCGTTTTCGACGCCTTTGCACAGGTTCAAGGTTGGGTACGTCGTCACTACCACCTGGAAGCCGGCAATCTACTTTGTATTTAGTAGTTTCTCTATTTGCTCGCTCTATTTCTTCTCTCCTTCCTGGCTCGCGCCAGACGGACATCATTTACGTGTTTAAACGTGTTTTTCTTCCTGGGTGCAAGGCATGAGGAAACTACGTTTTTTCAGTTGGGCATCTTCTGCACAAAAACTTATTTAAATCAATCGTTCCGGATATCTCCTCTTCCTTGCGGAAGAGGGCGGGGGAGAAGGTTTAGTATCCATGGAGAAGGATTCATCCCCGTGGTCCCCACCCACCAAAGGGCCACTCACGCCCACATTAGAGTGCCAGAGTTGCCACGGAGATATATGACAGAGCGCCGCCCCACCGTGCATCCCCTCGCTCAGCCTGGAGTTCAGTACAAGACCTAGTCCGAGCCAACTGATCGGGAATGGGTTAGCTCCCGTCTAGTCCCACAGCAAAGCAAATTTTCTGAAAACTTACAAGGAATGCTCCCCAAAATACGTAAATAACGTATCCCTACGTGCAAAGCAGAGAGCAATGAGTAGTTGGGAAACAAACAGGTCCCGTAACTGCCAGGACACATTCCCTCCGACACGGGTCACCATGCACGGCAAACACATGGGCGGGATTTCTGCATGGGGGGGGGGTTGATTTAGAAGGGGTAGAAGAAAAGAGACAGGATGTTATCAAAGAAGGAGAATAAACGATGCGCAAGACGAAAATAACTGGTAAAAGAAAGGAATACGTAAGAGCCCGCCCTTCACCCCTCCCCGTCACGACGTGGACCATCCCATCTAGACGGGAACTTCACTTAATAAAAAACACAAATACATATAAATATCTATAAATGAATTAGAAATTTTACAGTTAATATTATTACCAAAGTCATTCAACCAGTATTTGTCTTAAAATATGCTTTTAAATGCAAAGATGTGAATTTTTAGCTGGATGTTCAAGAACTGTCTGTACAAAGCCTGGCAGTATTCGATTCCAACCATATCATTTCACCATTGTACATGGGCATTTCCCATTTATTTTACATTTAAAAAATGTGTAAAGACTCGAGACTAAAAATTAGAAACGTTTATCTTAATACCGATGTCATTCAATTGCAAAAACATTCAAGTCTCATTAGTGGTTTGATGGATGAACAATGTTTTACCTGCAGTTGGACTCTTATTGTTTTAGTTTTAATTCTCATTAAAAAGTGTTGTTTTTTTTTGTTGTCTTTTTTTTAAATAATAATTCGACACATTTTTTATAAAAAGATCTTTAATTTCTAATATTAAGCCATCTATTTAAAAAGATTAGAAGTGATTTTCGTTCCAGTGGTTTACGAATTTTCTCCAGGCTTGTAGGCAGTACATAAGATCTAAAGAAAGGTTGAGATCCAGTCTTGCTTTACAAAAGTATGAAAAATGACTGTGTCCACCATGGCCTTCACACTTACAGACGACTTGCGAAACCCTGAGATGACACACTGTGTTGTCCGTGGGAAGATAGTTCCCCTTCGCGCGACATCCAATGTTGAAGGTGAGTGCACAAAACATTCTCAACATTTTGCCATGCAAAACCCACATACTATTCAAATTTTGAAGTGTTATGGAGTATTAGAAATGGTGTTTTAAGGACGTTTCGCATCAGGACCTTCTGTGTCCATTGCAATTCCCACAGTGAGCAAAGTTGCATCGGCAGCATCAGATTTATCAACTGGTGTCAGATTTCTAGCGCATTTGTTCTCTCACAACTGATGGTCATATCCATTGGTTTCTTTTTAGTTTCAAGGACACAGTAACACACATTCTTAATAATTCTATCAAGTCATTGGTAAGGATATCGTAAACCAATGCTATGTTTAAGAAAATTGTAGCACTTATGTCTTGATACTTTTTTTTTTATAAAAACCTATTATTGTGAAAAATTTCTTTCTAAGAAAAAGTGAAATGCTTATTTGTCACATATTGGCATAATGTTTTCAGCTCATATCTTTGCAATAATTGTAATTAGATTATTTAGGCATGTGTTCAACCTTCTCGTCTTTCTGAACTTGCCACATAAACATGTTTTTAACACCCTGCTTGATGCCCTCCGAGGCAACTGAGACCATGACAACAGATAGGTGGCGCAGATCGATTTCCGCGGTGCAACAGGCAGCCGATCATGAATTGTCGCAAAACCACTACCAGCAATGAAATATTGCACATAAAAATCAAAATTTATGAATTTTCAAAGGTGCTGAATGAGGTGGCAAAATTCCATCTCAATCCAAGTGTCCAGCACAGTGTGTGTTGCATGTAAGCGCTGGCTGAGAAGTGGCAATGTTGATCTCTATTAACACGATACTGCAATCAAATGCTTGGATGCACTATATTGCGATTTATGCAATTCTGCCCCTGGCAGGTATCAGCTGTTGACGGTTTCATCTCAGAAGCTTGAACATCACCATAGTGACCTCACTATGGTGATGTTCGAACTCACGATTGGATGAAACTGTCAACAGCTGATACCTACCAGAGACAGTTGTGAAAATTGCAGTATCGCTACACCCATGGTTGAACTGCGGAGAAAAACTTGACTCAACGGCCTCTGTACTGTATGTGTGCCTAGTGGCCAGACAGCTGTTCTGCCGCAGCATAAGGGCTCTTAGCAATCATTTTTACAATATTTCTCAGCAATATTGAGCAGCGAGTTTGTGTGTATGTGTTGCTTGTGTGTGTAAGTATGGTGAACATTTCACCACAGGTTTGCCTTTCACCACAGGTCAGTGGAGTATATCCCAGTTACATTATGATATGAAAGTACTAAGTACACACACACAGTCGGTTTTATCGAACAGGGCACTCCCGTTTTTGTTGTCTCTCGTTCCAACGAAGCATCTACATTCATCCATACATCCTGCGCGGGCCGTTGCAAGAGGCCCAATCTGTCGCTGTACGTGCCACCTCTCTCCAAATTGCCGAGCATACCACCTATGGCATGGGATTAATAATGCTGGAAGAAGTATGTATATAATATATTACAAGTTAAATACAAAATAAATTATTGCAAAAGAAGTTCAAAGATACATTACATATAAATGCACTTATATATAAAAGCGTTTAATTTTAGAACAATATTTGAAAAATATATATTCTTCTGCGTAATAATGAAATGGGGCAAAATATTAAATGCGATGTGCCCCTGAATTTTAATATTTTTATTTTATATCACGGTACTACGATTTTAAAGTTAATGTATGGCAAATTTTTTTTTTTTTCGGTGGTAAAAGTTTGGCCAGAAGTAAACGAAATCATGTGCAAAAACATATTACATTGAATGCTTACTACTCAATGACTGCGCATTCTGTCAAATTGTTTGCACACAACCTGATCTGCACACCAACAAGAAATGTTAGGCTTCACGATTTCTAATGGCATTTCTTAGTTGCAAATATGAATCACTTTAGAACCTGAGTAAGAAAACACTTGACAGGATTGTGCAGGTTGTTTCGCTTACTGAACACACGTGAATTCAACTCTTATCGCTCCCACAGCATGGTCTCACATGGTGCAAATTCTTAAACAGTGCAAACATTCAAATATGCAGGGTAGTTTGTGCATGCTACATACAATCCTGCAAAAATATAGTTTGCATTTGGGTCTCGCAGTAGACTTGTTAGTATATAATCACAGTGTGAGAATATTTTTGTTCATCACATCTAGCGAGCGGACTGGTATGTCACAAAAACAACTTGCACTTTTCACTTTAATGACATTCATGTACATATCACACAGCGGTATTGAACTGCAATTAAGATATTTTACTCAGAAAAATAATTATTCTAGTTCGTTCTTAGTTCAGTATAACAAGAGTCACAAACACGAACGGGCTTTTTGTTGCTTACAACAGCAGCTGTCTTGGAAGAACATTCATTACAGAATATCTGTCCACAATTTCGGCAATGATGTTTCCTCAGAAGCATGGTGAATTCTCTATGGCACAACGTGCACTTGGTGACGTCAGCATCTTCAGCCCATTTCCTTGCGAGAAGCTTCTCAATATCAAGCTGCAATAAAAGAAAATACAATGGAAAAACATTTTTTTTTAAAAGTAACTTAAACTACCATTACCTTTATTTAATTGGTTGTCCTGGTGTGGCTTACCATTAGCTTAACGCAGCTTACCTGTAAAGTAGCATTCTCACGACCCAGCTCTTGAAGTGCCGATTCACTTTCTTCCCACTTGCGCCTCAGTTCAGAGACTGTATGTTGTAGTGTCTCTATTTCACTGGTTGAAGCATAGCATCGTTCTAACAATTTTTGGTGTTCACTTCCAGTTGCTTCTAGTTGGGCTTCTAAAGCTGAAAAGATAAGATCCTTATTCACCTCTAGAAACAATGGTGCCTATGTTAGAGTCACGTTTACACCAATGTAGGGAAAAAATGATGAACTTTTTAATATGTAATGATTTGGACCATACAATTGAGACTTGCTGGTCCTAATCCTGCTTTTAAACAAACATAACATGAACTCTCTTTGAATTTGTGAATACAAACTTATGATATTCATAGCATATAAATGCTACAAAATTCCTTTCTAAGAAGTTGTGGAGGAAGGAGATGAAGAAAGACCATATCAATATTCCAGCAATGTTAACTCAAATCTTCTACATATACTTTTATTTCTTGGGGGCATTCAATCCAAAACTCCAAACCCACTACTCATAACAATAAACCTTGACAGGCATTCCCAACCCTAACTTTAAAATCTCACAAAGTATATATTCAGATATTGCTTTTTACAATGTTTAATAAATAGGCACTGAAAGAGCTCCAGTTTTTATCACTGAGAAAGGCAATAGACAACAACTTTGTAAGGTGTATTTTCAGGAGATCAACATACAGAACATTTGTTTATATTCAGCAATAGCAAGACCTTTAAAAATGGATAACAGCAATAAACATTTAAACTTTCTAATGGATACATTTTCAATTAAAATAAATTTTGCCAGAACACACTTATTACATAATTATCCTTGATGTATGGTAATACTGGTATTACTGCTATCATAAAAACTATAATTGACAGGACAATACCAAGGAGAAGTAACTTAGAATGTAAGGGGAATCACAAACAAAGATTTGTTAACTAGAATTCTGGAAGAGCAAAAGATATACATTGCCGTAATGTCTGAAACAAAGAAAAAATTTAAAGGCTCAAAATATGTACGGATTTATAAAATGTTCTAATGTTGTAGAGGAAATTACAAGAGCATCAAAATGAATAGCAATATTTGTAGAGAAAATTTGTGCACCAAAGATTAAAGAATATACGAAAATGTGAATGATAGAATTGTCACTATCGAAGTAAGACAAGACCATGGACACCTGGTCATTATACGCACTTGTGGCCCAGTAAGAGGTTGGTCGAAAGAACAGGAAGGGGAAACTGACAGTTTTACTCAACATTCCAGAAAATGCTAGACAAATACAATCAAACACGCTAAGTACACATTATGGGCGATATGAATGCCAGAGTGAGAAACAAAGTAGTCCATGGATCTATAGAAACATTCAAAGAAGAAACAAATAAGAATGTGAAACTATGAAGTTTTGCCCTTTTTAATAACTTAGAAGTAACAAAACACTTTTCTGCAAGAAACTAATTCACAAGTTTGCATGGTCCAATGGAAGGTGCAGATCCTCAATAGATTATATATTTGCTGAACGAAGAATATCAAACAAGTATAATGATGAGGTTTTGAGGTCTACTCAGACCACTATTTAATAGTATCTCACATCAAAATATACTGAAGCTGGCGAAAAGTAAAGAAAAACTGTCCAAATGAGGATGCAGGGCAAGTTCACAAGTGCATGTTCAAGAAGATCAAAGCAAGAGGGAATTGTACCAACATAGACTGAAGGAACACTTGTATTCGAGACCTACAAGTAATAACGTGGAAGAAATTGGGGCTAATTTGAGAATGGTAGTGGCGAAGGCTGCTAACAAAGCTCTGGGGAGAGAAAAAAAAAAAGAAGTAAAAGATTAAAAATCTGGTCAACAGAAATAGAATTAGTAAGGATAAAGAAAACAGTGTTATAATGCATATCTAAGAAACTCAACACACGTTAATAAATAAAGTACCACCTTACAAGAAATAAAGCAAAAAATTCAATTAAGAAAGCCCACAATGTGTCTTGGGAAAGATTTTTTACAAATATTGTACACGATATAGATGGAAGGCAGTCTTTAGTGTGGAAAGTCATGAAGTCTCTAAATAGTTCTTTAAAAGAGGATATAAATGTCAAAAGCCTTAAAATAGATACGTGAACAGAACACAACTGATCTCTTTAGAACGATGATAAACAAAATGCTGTAGTTAACCACAAAGAAAAATATCCAGAAGTTGACGACATCACATGGGAAATGCTGACAATCACTTTAAAATGGTTAGAAAATTGAAAAGCACCTGGACCCAACAATCAACAGCGAACTACTGTAGTATGGAGGGCAAGTATAGTATGAACACCTTCTAAAGCTGTCTTATGTGTGCTGGAAGCAATTTGAGACTCCTCAAGAATTGTTCCAGGCGAAAGTGGTGTTCCTGTTCAAAAAAGGAGATTGAACTAACACCCAAAATTATCAAGGAATAAGTCTGCTAGACATTACCTACAAAGCATACGTGAAAATTCTGAATCAACAACTGAAGACAATAGTAGAAACATATCTCTCAGAAGAGCAAACATGATTCAAAAACTGTTGTTTCATGCACAGATGCAATATTTACCTACAAGAGGTTGACAGTGTGAAGAGAACATAACAAAGAAATCTTTCATCTGTAAATCTTGAAAAAGCTTTTGACAATGTTCAATGCATACTTCTGCTGGAAATATTAGAATGGATAGGTTACCCAAGACACCTTATCGAAGCTATAAAGTGTGTTTTCAGAGAAACTTTAATCATATTAGGAAACTGTAAACCTAACATAATTATCTCTAGAAATAAAGGAGTTAGGCAAGGCTGTTCAATATTACTAACACTACTTTCCCGTAAACATATGTATATATGGAGAGTCATACATAGTACAGGAAAGTTATGTAATGCTGCAGAAAATCTATTTCAAGATTTCAACAGAAATAGACGTTTTTGGGGTCCCCCGACTGAAAACGTGTTGTTATCTTTCTTTCTTTTTTCTTTTCGAAATGTTTGTCTGTTTGTGAATGCCACTAGCGCCTAAACCACATTTCGCTCAAACTTTCAAACAGATGTTGCTAATTGCACTCTTTAAAATAATATAAAGTTCCTAGCAGGGTATTTTTTTGCTTTTTTAAAAATTAGACATATGTAATTTTTTCCAATGCCAGTAATGTGCACATTTCCAGCGATTTTCAAATACCAATGTATTTGTGAGTTAAAGTACTTGAAATTAAGTTTTTTGGAAACTCTTAAAGTTTTCTGTGAAAAAGAGCTTTAAATTTCTAATTTACTCTAGCATGTGTGTGCCAATTTTTTTAAAATGACAGCAAATTGTTCAAAGAAAATTGCAATTTAAGACAGGTGTTACCTGTCTAATTCATTAATATTCATAAAATGGCATTTCTGTTCTATTATTAGGAAGTACTTTGAGTGTGGATAGATGGCAGCTGGTAAGAGTATGTGGTAAGTTCATATAGCTAGCCGAGACCAAAGGAAATATAAAACTAACACAGGGAAGTCTGTACCATTCTGTAGCACCACTAGTTAACATACATTTGGAAGACATATATAGAATATGGAAAAATAAAGTTGATAGAAATGAGCAATTAAAGTTTGATTTTTTAAAAATTATAATTCTATTTGATACGCTGATGCAAAGTGGCAATACAAGGAACTGAAAACAAGCTTCAAGTGTCTCTTTTTATCTTAAAGAAAACCATCAATGAATATGGACTTAAAATGTCCACTCAAAAATCGACACATTAAAGGAAGTCATTTACTACATATAGGAGCAAGATTTATCCACTTTTTCAATATCCGTGGACCTGCAATATGAAAAATCGGTTGAAAAATCACCACTTTTAATTGCAGCATTACAATCCTCTCTCTTTACTACACATGTGTGATAGACGAAAAAATAAAATCAAAACAAATAGCAGATGTGATACAGAACATATTACTACTCAAAGCTCACTACTTGCGACTACGTCTACCGATAGATGCTTAACTCCAAAGCTTTTCTAAAACATTCTTACCCAGTTTTTCACCAGTTGTTTCATCTAAAGATGATCTGAGACCTTTGAGCTCATCATTCTTTGCTTCTATTGCAGCATTTGATGATTCTTTCAGCTTATTTATTTTTTCTTCCAAAGAATGTGACTTCTGGTTTGCAGATAACTGTGCAATAAAGATAATAATTACAGTAAATCACATTAGGTTAATAAATAATTGCATGATAAAATTAATGTGAATTAATATGAACTATAGTATTGTCAAGTACTAACTAAACACGCCTCCAAATCTTTTTGTATCTCCTTTTTTTCTTGAAGTTCATTTTGCAGTTTTTCCATTTTCTGTGATGCTTTGTCCATTTCTTGTTGCTTCTTTGCTTCTACCAACTCAAGTTGTCGAGTAAGTTCTGCACGCTCACTGACAAGGATCTGGACGGCATCTTCTTGTTTCTGTAGCAACTGCACAATAAATTAGGAAAGGATATTATTAGTTCTTTAAGAAATTTGGAAATTAATTAAATTAGTATTATTTATTATACAGACAGAGCATGTCCAAATGTAGTACAATTTTACAAAAATAGTGCTTGGAACCGCAATTGTTATCACATTACCTATTCGTAATTCAAAATCAAAGATTCTACTGTCTTATTGAACATCACCACATTCATCTCGAATAATTCAATTCCATATACACTTACTAAATTGCACATTCTTGTTATGGATTAATCGAGGTGAACTCAGTACCATACATCTAAGTGTAAAATAGTGGAAGAACTTTTCTTCCCATTCTATTTGACACATTAAATCTCAATTCTTCCAATAATGAAGCGCTAGTTGACCAATTTATAAATAAATTTAAAGTCATTCAATTCTCTCAACGATTTCAATGATGGAATCAACATTGATGAAATGGTCTCAATTATAATCCAAAAAGGGATAAGGTAATCCTACATAATGAGCAGCCATTCTGAAAACTTATGTTGCACTTATTTGATACGTTTTATATAAACATCAAAAAAAGGACTCCAAATAGGCGAGCTGAAAAGGAGTAAGAGTCTAAAGAACACTAAGTATGTGTTCAGAACACTAATTGAATTTTTTTCATGACAAGTCCTTTTGACAAATCCTAACATTTGAGAAGATTTATTGATTATTATATCTACATGGTCATTAAATTTCATTTCATCACCAAATATTATCCCTAAGTCTCTCACAGAGTGTACATTTGAAAGATTGTCATTGATTGAATGAACATTAGGAATAATATTTCTAGAACAACTAAATTTATTTGTTACACACTTTTCTGGGTTTAAAATGGGGTTAATGTCGTTATATAAACACCAAGCGAAAAGCTTATTAATGGCATTTTGCAAGACAAGTTAAATTAATATAATAAAACTACAGTAACGCAGGTATTTCAAACCAGAAAGATTAATGATAAATCTTGAAAATAACTTTGCATCAACAATTCAAGGCTGAAGCCACAAGAAATTACAATTGGAGTGTTGAATATATCTGAACCAAATGTCAACAAAACAAGTCTCATTATGATTAACTTTGAAAACATACAACTCTCATTAGAGGTACTGGTACGATAAGTATCATCATGCAAAATATACAATTTAAATTTATGAAAATTGTTATGCAATGACACACTGTTGTGTTTTGTCAGAAATTATTTTATTTATGTTCATTGTTATAAATGCTGAAAAACTTGATTGTCATAAACACTGACTTTTCTAAGTCGCTTGGTAAACTTTAGGAAATTTTTCATTCATGAAGGAAAAAATAAAAAAAAATCAAAAAAGGAAAAAGAAAAAAGAAGGAGGAGAGAGGAAATAAGGAGAGCATATCTCAAGAAGTATTACCTCTATTGCGCTAAATTTTTTTCTTCAAAAGACTTGTTTCAATAGAAAACTTCCATGTAATTATGAAATACAAAAAAATTTAGTATACAAAATACAGAAACTGATATTTTGTGGTGTCCCAAAACTTTTCGGAAACACTGTACATAATAGCCAAAATGGTAAAATACTTACATCACTCTTCTCTTGAATTGTGGAACGTAACTGTTGACGTTGTTGTTCATGTTCTGATTGCACATTTTGGTATTCGTGTTGTAGTTCTGTCAAGGACTGTTGCAAATCTGTAACAGTATTTTGGGCTGCTACATAATCTCGCTGACAGTTTAGCCATTTCTTCTCAATGTCGGATTTCTCTTCAGAAATTTTCTTCAGTTCCTGAATAGCACTTCACTTAGTTATCATCCATTATAAAACCAAAAATTACTTACAATAATAAAAATTAACTCCATATGCTTACCTTAGTCAAATTGGTATTGATTTTCTTTTCTTCACTCAGCATTTCATGCAATTCCTTTTGTTGCTTATCCATTGTTTTTGAATAGGCATTCATATTTTGTTTTGCCTCTTCTATTTCACGCCTCATTTTTGTCAGATCCTCATCCTTTCTAGACAATTCTGATCTTATTTCTCCATGTATTTTTGTTAATCTATTCACCTCCCCAGATTTTATATTCAACTGATTAATTAACTTCTGGTTTTGTTCTGATTCAGCAGAACTTTCACTCTTCTCTTCTGGAGTAGCTTGCAGGGAACACTGTGTTCCAATCTGTCCACAAAAACACATTTCAACTTTCATTAAGCACAATACAAAACAAACCATTCTTCAACAGGAGAATTGAACACACTTTTCTGGGAATAATTGAATTACAATAAAATCCATCAGTATCGAATATTTATGGTTCCTTGTAAGTGTCCAATTTAGAGACATGAGTCCACAGCTATATTCATGCAAGTAATACATTATTAAAGATCAGGTAATTTTACAATGTTTTATAATTGTGATTAGGGTACTTAGTGATTTTAGGATGTGTGTGAACTGAATGAATTCAGAAATTTCAGAATGATGGAGCTTCATTCTATGAAGCATAAAATAAGTGGCCAATAAAGAAGGAATTTATAGTTGTTTTTTTTTTTTTTTATATGGACGTCTCATTTTGTAATACAGAGTTGCAAACATTAATTTTGTAAGAAGATTAGAACTATCAATGATGATGTTTATATCAATTGTTGAAGTTAATTAAATTACCATTTCATGGCAAATATGTTAATACAATATGTCCATTTTGTGCATTCACATGACTGCAGTTATTGTTAGATTCTTTCGTATCTGTATGTTAAAAAATATTACTCGTGGCATATATTTGTGGTATATTGAAACACATCATTCATTAATACATGTAAACAACCAATTCCATCGAGAATACTTGAAAAGAGTAAAATATTACACAAGTATAAAATATAACTGTACAAATAAACAACAGCTTTTTTTCAACTTTTTAAAGTACATTGTATGTTTCACTAACAAATCTTAAAAAGATCATGTAAATATCTAGCATGACACAAAACTTATTTCATCCATGGTAGCAACTTAGACATTCCTGAAATTTAAATAAATGCATAAATAAAAACCGAATTGACAATGAAAAATTAACTATTTTTTTGATTATTGAGAATATATAAAGTAATTCTCACACAATTCAGGTGTTAAAATTTTCGTGTCATGCAGGAAAAAAATAAAATGTAAAAAATCATTTTTTTTACAATGGGAAGGGGTGGAGAGGTGTGAGGTGTTACTGGGTCTGAAAATCTGTGATTATTAGTTCGCCTTTGCCTCCCACACATTCCACACAATTGGTAAAAAGGGTTTGGTGCCACTTTTAACATTCTTATTTCACCAAAGCCCATGTTAAGTTGGCTTACACACGAATGAAAACTATGTTACTAATTAATTAGGTACTATAATTCCGGTAAAGAAGGTAAAAATTAATAATAGGAAGTCTAATAATGAGGGACTGGCAATTAACTGCAATATCTAATGAGGAAAGGAAACCTAGAAGAGTTCATACGGGGATTCTAAGGTGATCTATAAATTACCTACTTCATTTCTTAAAAACTCGTCTGTTCCAGACGACAATTAGTAAGTCTCATTTCCATATACATTTCTAAATACGTACAACCTTCTTCAACCTACTTCATTTCTTAAAAACTCGTCTGTTCCAGACGACAATTACTAAGTCTTGTTTCCATATACATTTCTAAATACATACAATTAATATCAATATAAATTAATAAAAATTGCCTGCACTAATTTTCTGTAAAATCCTGACCACATAAAAAATCTTATCCTGCACACATGGTCACAGAACGAATTGCCATTCCACTAAAAGATGGTGAGTTCAGGATATGAATGACATTGAATGTGTTGTAAGCTTTTGAAAGAGGAAACTTAATGGTAGCAGGTTACCTACATGATGAAATAGAAAACAAATCATCCATAATTACTTCTAGAACTAATTCTGGGGAAGTTGCATTTTCTTGAACATTCAGAAGCAACTCCTTTTCTCACTAGTTACTCCAGAGGTGGAATGAAAAAAAAATTTTACCACTGACAGATCCTCAAAAACTTAGCATGATTGCGCTACAACAAAAATTTTTCATTATTTAAATATATTTAATTTCATACAATACAATTAATTGTTTCATTTGTATAATTACTCTCACAAGTTTTAATTCCATAATTTTCTTGCAATAACTGCAAATTAAATATGAGAGAATAAGCACTGGGCATGTACTACAGACCTGGTAGTACAATCCATATTTCTACCCCGGTTCGACTATAAGGGATTACATTTCATTGGTTTGGAAGAAGATCAGCTCCAAATTAACTTATGCTTTCCCAAGTTGGCATGTGGGAGATCGCTCCCCCCCCCCCCCCCCGATATTTAGCTTTAACTAATTGTCAGAATTAAATAAAATCTTAAAATTCATATTAATAAATATGTTGTAAAAACAATTTAAAATATTTTAATCCTTAAACAATACAAAAAGTTATTGAAACAGAATTATATAGTAACGAATAATAAGAAAGAAGTCCATATTCTATGAAATTATCTTCAGACATTTTTTGAAGAGCTCTGTGCGAGAGAAATATCACTATGTAAAAGAATTTTTGGGACCAGCTTTACAACCCATGGTTGTGACCTGATAACACACAGCACTCATCACAACCCGGAAGATTACTTCCTTAACCCAACCCGGAAGATAACCATTTATAGTTATTACTGATTATTTGACCTTTGAGTAGATTGTAAACATTTGTTGAATAATAATAATATTTATATTTTTTAAAAAATTCTTTGTGCTCCCTGTCAATTCGGATACTGTTACTCTCAATCTCCAGGTGTATGCAAACAGAAAGCTTCAACTGCGCTCTTCTAAGAAATAAGGAAAAATTCCATTTGAGTCAGGGGCGTCCATAGGGTGATGCAGCTGGGGCAACTTGTCCCAGGTCACCACTAAGTGGGGCTCTGAAAATTTGTACAAAATGTATTTCCTTCAATACATTTTTTTGGAGAACAAAAAGTGGCTGAAATATGATTCACTTTAAAATATATTAATTTATAATAATAAATAAGGGGAACTTTTGTTGGAAATAATAGAGGTCCCCATGGATGTACTGCCCCAGAGTACCCAGCCCCCTTGTTTTTCAGGGTGCCCCCAAGTATTATGGAGGTGAATACATGGATGTTTCCACCGGAAAAAATAGAAAACTGGCACCGCCTATGTCATCAAGAAGGTGCGACACTAACCAAAACTCAGCGATTGAGTTCTTGGTGAGAAGTGTTCAGCGAACATTTTGTCTATGCTATGCACGTACTACCCAGAGATCCATTAAGGTGCTTTGTGGTGCTACCCATGGTACCAATGTTGCACCTACACATGTGGCAGTTTTTGAAGTCATGTGAGCGGTTAGTCAAGGACTTCGCAATCCTAAAGCAAATGGCATATTTCATACATACTTCAATTTGAATACTTGCCATTATAACGTTGAATCACAAACTTCATTCGATACAATGACGTTTGTGAATTTATGCTAAAAGTCAGCGATTAATCTGAAAATAACGAAAAATCCTGGTTTTCAAATTATATTTCCGATTATTAAGGATTCTAGGATCACTGGCCACCCTTTTGTTTGTGCGAATACATTAAAGGGTGAAAATATCAGAGCATGTATATGTTTGTTTTGCCAAATAGTGGTCATAATTAAGTATCAATTTTTGTCCAGCCACAGAATCAAAATTGACCTCTATGGGCTGGTCTGGTTAAAAAAGTGCCCTTTACTTTTACAAGGCACAAGGGAGCCACAGAAGAAAGATAAAGAAATGGCTCGTAGAATGAAAGGGGGGAACAATGGATTTCCAGACTCCCACTAATCGACCCCTTCTGGGTCTCGATAAATTTCACGTGAGCACACATTGACAACCATGGGTTGCTGCATTCTTGGCTGACTTAACTGCTGAAGTCTTTCAGAAACGCTGTCATCCTACAGAATGCTTTGTTAGTCAACCCAATGATGCACCCACATGGCAGCCCCATTGCATGCAATGTCCTTTGGGTCACCTTCAGTATGAAAATTGATGATCCCTGCAAGAAAAGTACCAATTTGTCCCTACTAGGGCATGATGAATCCACAGCTACGTGTCTCATTTACGATTTCCACACTCTTCAAATTGCATTCGTATTCTGGATACCCTACTACAACTACCAAGTACCTCTGGGGATCTACAGCGTGTACTCGGTATACCGGATCTCAGACGCTCATCAGAGAGACACTGAACAGGCCATAGGAGGAGAAGTGATCGGCTGAAGGAACACTCGCGGTCTAGGGAAAGGCTCCAGAATTCGCCTGCAAGCAATCAGGAAAACTACAGATCTAAGTGAAGCGCCACAAACTTGCCGACGTTAAACACATAAGGCAAACTTCCGGCATCTGGTGGTGATCAAATCAGCGACCGTCCAATCACTGGCATGGTCGATTATGTCTAAAACGTGCACAAAAATATGCATGTTTATGGTATTATAATCCATTTATAATTACCATTAATTGGGATCCGCTGCACAGTGACTATGGAGGCATTCGAGAGCTGCGGGGTCTGCGGTTTTGAATCCCACCTGGACAATGATGTTTGTTTTAGTGTTGTGATGTGGTGGGGCTTGGCCCAATCTCCATGTATCACCTTCAATACCCCACTCCTTCCAAGACACCTCCCGGTCTGAATGTTGCATGAATGTGACAGTCGGCGTGCAAGCTCCCTAGTGGGGTCCACCCAGCCGCCACCAACCCTCCCTACCTATAGAAGGACTCGAGCGCCACACAGCCTTAAGAGCTACAAGCAGCAGAAGTGCTCGGCCGCATCAGTGCTCCGAGTCTCTGCACAGTTGGAGAGTGGAGCCTACACTCAAGGGACTCGAAGGTATAAAAAGGCAGTATTAAATGAGGACAGGAAACGATAGCTGATATCTGAAAAATTAAGTTGATGAAAAACACTCGATGGTATGATAATTATAATACTACTATTTATCTCATATCTCACACAATGTCGAATATCTTTATTGTAAAAAATGTTTGATGCATACGTGTGTGTTCGATTTCCCTCTTAACGGGGAAACAACTTCATTTCAACAAAAGTTTATACACAATTTTACTACAGTGGGAGTAAAACAGTCCTAGAACTCCTAGAGACGAGGTGGGAAGAAAGTAGAATTTGCAAACAAATTTACGTGACATGCAATGCACCTTCTACGAGCACTGAGTGTGCACAATGGGTGCGCCAGCAGGAGTTTTGAATACATGATTACAATAAATACGTTGCCAGGCAATGCCACGTATTCAGAGCTAGCAGCCAATTACTAAATGATGAATACCTGGCTACATTGCCTGTGCACAGCATAAGTTATGGATAAAGCGCGAACCTGGCTAATTCCCGAATGTTAATATTTACGTTTCCAAAATACGTAGATTAAATCCGAAGTAGGAAACGATTTCCAAGCGTACTTTGGACTTAGGCCAGATGAAGTTCATGTTCGACAACACAAGATTGCTAGGGAAGGTCAAGTACGTTACATAGACGAGAAATAAGAAAGATGTGAGAAACAGGAATCGGACTGCTGTTCAGAAGTTACTAATGTTAGAGAGATACAAATTTTGATTATATTTTGTTGAAAACAGCCAGGTAATTCACTATACATTGACTGAAATTATAATTTGCCCTATGGAAACTGGAAGATTTACACAAAATAAACACACAATTTTAGTAAGTTATTTCATGATCTATTTTTAATCTATTCATTTATTTTCTGTTTCATAATAAATTATATGATTGATTATTGAAATTGATTTGAATAATTTTCCTAAAAAAGTTAAGGTTAAGGAGAAAAACCCAAAAATGTCTGAAAAAAAATATGGTTTTTCAGGCCTCCCAAAGATTACACAGGATCAAGAAGGTTGAACTCTGTGCTTTAATTAGTGCCTTCATACATACATCATAAACAGAAAAATGTTCATTGGTTATTTTCCAAGTAAACCCCCCTTTTTCCGCACTTGGATTATGTCATGAGTTATATCTCTGAAGTCTGCAGTTTTCACTGCAAGTTACATGGAATTTAAAATGTATCACAATATTAATTCTCTAATCAACTGTTAAGTATAACTACAATTTCCACTAATAGCTTTGGGAAGATAAAACCGTGGTCATTTCTGGAGAATTTCCTTGAATAGTTTGTAACTTCTACGAACATACTTGTGCTATTTTTTCTCATCTTGAAAAACCTAGTCAAATTGGCAAGCACAGTCCACTAGTCCAATGCTCATTATTTCCTCATACAAAAGTTTCTCGACACCCTGAATAGGAGATTGAGAGTTATAGAAAATATTGAGTGATTATGAATGTGGAAGAGTTGACACGCTGAAAAAGGATAGCCTTTGTACAATATTGATAAAAATATGCTTTTAGATGTAAAACATTTAAAAAAAGCAAAAGAACTGCAACATGGTGACAAAAAGATATAAGCAGATTATTCTAAATGTTTAACAATTCTGGGAATAGTTATTACACAATGAGTCACAAAATTAACAAGCAAAACAAATCCCTGGAATAAGGAGATTTCAAAACTATTAGAACAGAATATATTTAGAGGTGAAGTATCAAAAAGCAATGGTAGTTCAATACATTATAAACTTCATCATTAAAGTTATTAGATGCAACAAGTAAACTAATAAAAAATAAAAGAAGTAGGATAAAAGGAGCAAAAATTAAATTTTCGGAAATAAAGATGGAAGTCACATTGCAAAAAGACAAGACAAAAGCAGAATGTTGAAACACTATTTGGACATTTCAAAAAAGTATTAACAACTAAAATTGAATGCAAATGAAAGCATTGCTTCACATCTCCCTAACAATACTTGACAACAAGATGCACTGCTAACACAGTAATCTTTACATTTTACCATACAAGTAAACGTGAGAGATGGATGAACACTTTCAACATGCAGTCTTTACACCTTCATGTAAGTACATGCAGTGGACAGACCTGAATTGAAATTAGACATTCACAGAAACAAAAACTTGGTTGAATGTTTGCATGCTTTTGAAGATCCATTCTTTTGAATCTTTACACACTTTAATTTACCTCGCTAAATCCATGTACCAAGGCATCTTGGGTCTCTAAAAGACCCGGGGAACCAATTGTCTTCCCTGCCTCTCTTAAAGACTCATTTGATTTTTCCATATTTTCTAATTTGCTCATTACACTGTCATATTTGGTTCTCATGTCCGTAAGTGTTTCGGTGAGCTGCTTGCATTCTTCCTCTTTTATATTAAGAGACGACCTCAGTGTTTCAATCCTGGAAGTCAATTATAAAATGAAGAATAGATATTAGTTTCGTCAGTAGGTTGCTAAAAAGATGAGTGTTAGAGCCCAAACGGTATAACAGGAATTAAGTGATAGATGACGATACAGACCCAGGAAACAATGTTGAGGCAGGTATTGTTAATACAAAATTATTATACATTTATTAATATTTTAAATTACATAAACCCATAATATGAATATTTGTACAACAATACTTTATTCTCCAAACCTGAACTGTAGTTCATAAGATAAGATTCTATTGACAAGCAACAAAGTGAGCTTCAGACTTAGTAGATTGTATACTGTGTGAAATGTTATGGGGACATTTTCAGAGGAACTAGATTTATATTGGTTTAATGTTTTCAAGTAATTTTTCATAAAAATGAGGAATATAAAGAAAACAATTTGCTAAATGTTGGGCTAATGTGTGATATGAAGAACATGAAAGTGGATTAATAAAAGATTCATAAAAAAGGAACATTTCCAAATGAAATCTTATCAATTCCCTAAAAGAGTGATAAAATCAAGATGTCACTACAGATTTCACTTGATCACACTGCCACAATATCTGAGAGAACAAGGAACTCAACCTATAAAATCAAGCCATCCAATAAAAAAAAAATGCAATTAAGCAAAAAACACCTCCACAAGAATAACAATGAGGTTCTCGCTCTTGTGGATGAACAGATATAAACCACAATCATCACTATTTTACATCATTGAAGAGAAAAGGGTAGATATTCAGGACTGTGGAAGAAACAACACTCATTTCAGTAAGGCTTTACAATCAAATGACGACATTTCTTTGAATGGAGAAAAAAAAAAGGCTTCACAGGAGTGGTTCTAGCCGTTTTTCCTTTTTCCCCCACTTTCCTGTTTATGAACATATGTACAGAGTATTATACATAGTATAAGGAAACGTATGTAATGCTGCGGAAAATCGATTTTGAGATTTTAACGGAAATACTCCTTTTACCGAAAAAGTGGGTTTTTCAAAAACGACCGTCTGTCTGAACATCACCAGCTCCTGAAACTTACGTACCATTTTGTCCAAAATGGACATTCCCCGGTTGATCTGGCTCTACTCGAGGTGCTGTGATTTTGAAAAACATTCCTTAACACGTGGGTGCACTTTATATGAAACCCCTTGGACATTTTCAAAATTTTCTCAAATACAGCTCCGAATTTTTTCTTTAAATTTCTTGCAAGAATAGAGTAAAATACAGTTATAAAGGTGGCCTGTTTTCAGGTTTAACTCTGAATTTTCGAAAATTTCTATATTTTTTGGGTGCCTCCCTTCAACTACAAAATTGAAAATAGATTTTCCCTTCAAATAAAATTTGTTCTTCATAGTGATTTCTTTCATTATGGTCATGTACATTTTTTGAAAATTTTAGTACTTTTTGTGCAACAGTGCAAGCAGTATGTACAATTTTAAAAAATTACAAAAACAAGATGTCTCAAATATTGCTGTAAATTTCTTCTAAATCAACTTTTGGTAGGGATAGTGCAAAATGTACACTGTAAGATAACAAACGCTGTATTGCTCTATTCTTTTGTTCTTCCAAAACTTACAAAAATGTAATTTTTTTTTTACTTGTCTCTCACATCATTAATATTTATATTAGTAGCAATTTGTTCACTTTATTAAAATTACGAGTACATGTGCTTTAAATAATGTCAAAGTTTCTTAAAAAGTCAACTGTTTTCTGTGAAAATAGCTGAAAATTCAGAAATGCTAGAACGCCATTTCCTAAAAATTGCTCCAATTTTTTTTTCAAACTTTTCGAACAGATAGTGCTAATTGCACTGTTTAATGTGATGCAAAGTTGATTTTGGTGAATTCTTTTATTTTCAAAAATTACACAAATGTAATTTCCTTGAAAGATCTCATTAATGTGCACATTCCCACCAATTTGTAAACACTATTGTATTTGTGAATAGAAGTGCTTCAAATGACTTCTAATGAAGTTTTTCTAAAACTCAAAAATTTTCTGTGAAAAAGAGCTTCATTTTTTCAAATTTACAATAGCCCTTAAACACCATTTTCATGAAACCAGCTCCAAATTTTTCAAAGAAAATTGCCATTTAGGATGAGGTTTTACTGTTTTTTAATATTTAAAATAATATTTCTGTTCTACTATTAGAAAACCGAAAAATTGAGAAAATTTTTAAAAAATGTACTGTGAGTAGTGATAGATGGTAGCTGGCAAGAGTATGTGGCATGTCCAAATAGCTAGTCAAGACCAAAGGAAACAGAAAACTAATACGGGAAAGTCTGTTTTTCTGTAGCACCACTAGTTTCAATAGTGTATTGGGTGGGTGTATAGCCAAAACTTTTATCTTTGATCCCTGCAAATAAGCTGATAACTTGTGAAAATTACAATATTACACAAGAGAAATACATTAAGCCATGCTGTGATTATTTGAACAAACTTCTAGCAAGAAAGAACACACAACAAAACCTATATTACTTTAATCAATGATATTACCTCATTGTTAAAGCATGAAACAAGTCAGACAACTTCACTAATCATGTTTCTGGTTTTATGAAATTTGATAAAACACATGCATCTTTTACACAAAAATCAGAGGGAAATTAACTTATGTGATTGCACACAAGTGTAGAGAATGAGAAGAATCCAGAAATCTCACTTCCAGCAAAAAAGAAGACTAATAATTTTATTCTCAGGGTTCAAAGAAAATGTTCTAAAAACGTACTGAAAATAAGCAGAAAGAATGAATTTTGGTCCTTCAGTCTCTCTCATAAGAGCTAGAGATCACTACCACATGATAGTTTCACAAGGAAAATTACACTCGTGGGAAGCATTCAGCTAACACCCCTTACTCACACAGTTGAGAAGCATGTTTGTCTTCTTTCTGCTTCCATGACATGAAGCTATTTTTCTTTTATCACATCTAGTGAATGAGGGAAAGAAAAACATATAATTTAATACTCCTTTCAAATCAAAAAATTCAGCGGTAGTCCTGTGAATTCAACATAATACCTTTGCTGGTCACATGGTGACAATGACACAAGTAAACACCTTTTATTTAAGTGATCCTAAACAAATCTAACTTTAGCAAGAAAAAATATAGAAGGTAAAAAATACAGTATTTGTACCTTCTAGAGTATCTATAACCGATTCACTCCAAGTCTATGACAGCCCAACAAAAGAAGTAATAATTGTTGGTCTTTCTAAAATGTTTACTGCAGTTATGAATAGTGGGCAATGCAGTGTCAGAGATGGGAAAGAAATTTCATTCTAAATCATTCGTTGCTTATTTATGAAAGTATAAACGAGAAAAATCAGCCGTAACAAAGAAGAAGATGATTTTTAAATAGGTTCAGGCAGCTGCAATATACAAAATAAAAATGCAAAAGCAAGTTAGGATACCGAAAGTATGAAGAAAAAAACAACAACAACAACAACAACATAATCCTACAATGTAACTTTCCTAAAACTCGTCCTTTTTACTAACAGAAATGATATTTTCTTGGCACTCTGACATCTAAGTGCAGCATTACATGCCCCATCATAAAATAATGGCAATAGTTTTATTTTCTCATACCAAGAAAGTATAGAAAAAGAAAATACATGTTTAAAAGGTCCCCGAGATTGAAAAGGATATTTTAATTTTTAGGGTTACTTCACATGAAGCCCATCCAACACTCAAAATTCTGACAAAAATGTCTATTTTTCTAATTGTTTTCCTTCAAATGAAGAAGGTACATTCATAATAATAGAATAGGCGCAATTTTTTCTTTAAAACTTTGAATTTTCGAAAATTAAAGATTTTTTATGTATGTATTTGGGTCTTTGATGCACCAAATAATTGTGGCTTAATGGTTAGAATGCTAAGCTCTTGTGCACGCTTGAATTCAAATCCCAGCCTGGGCAAATATTGTTGCAGATAAAGAACACCCACAGAAACATGTGATCAATGAGGCAATTACCAAGTGAAGTAACGTGTTGCTGGCCATGTAAACATGCAATTGCTCAAAGGTGAGAAACGTTCACCTAGCATAATAATATTTCATAACATTACAAATAAGAGAAAGTAATTCTGTTGGAGCACTAACTTTTCTAATGCCCTATGCTGTGCCATTTAATGTGCTCATTCCCCCAAAACTCCAAATGAACGCCCCAAGTAATGTCTGGTCTTCATCAAAAATATCATCTGAAATTCAAGCATGTATCAAAGCCATACTTGCACATTCCAGCTGATAACATTGATTTCCGCATTAAGTACTTGTTAAAAAAATAATATAACTAGTGGTGCTACAGAATGGAACAGTCTTTCTCATGCTAGTTAGCTTTTTAATTTCTTTGATCTGAGTTAGGTTTTCAGTTTTGCACCATCGACTTCCCACCTGACATCTATCGCTGCACCAACTTCGTTTTTTGTTCTTTTTTTTCCCCTTCCATTTTTCAGTCCCCAAATGATAGAATGAAAATATCACTAAGAATTTTATAGAAGAGTAAAACCTTGCTCTATTTGGAAATTTTCGTTGAATAATTTGGAACCATTTTTGAGAAAATGTTTAAGCATTTCTGAGAACATACATTTTGAAGCTCATTTTCACCAAACACTGAGTGTTTAAGAAAAAATTTGGAACTGCTAGAAACTCTCGTTTTTGATTGTTTTTTTTATATTGGACATATTTCATGCAATATTGGGCAAAATCTGCTAAAATTGTTCAAAAATGTACATAACCTTAATGAAAGAACTAACTATGCAAAACAAATTTCATTTCATGGAAAAAAATCTCAATCTCCAATTTTGTATTCGTAGGAAGACTCCAAGACACTTTCAAACTCTTGCAATTTGCAAAAATTCAGAGTTAACAATGAAAATTGGACCTATGCCACCTTTATAAGTGTATTTCACTCTTTTCTTACAAAAATTTAAAGAAAAAATTTTGAGCTATATTTGATAAAGTTCTGAAAATGTCCCAAGGGTTTCAAGTACAGTACCCCGAAAAAATAATGAATGTTATTTAAAATTGCAGAGCTTCAAGTGAGGACAGATTGACTGGGGAGTATTCAGTTTGAAAAACATTCTACACATAGTTTAGGCACTAGTGTTGTTCACAGACAGAGACAGACAGACTGCTGTTTAAAACAAAAAAACAAAAATAACAACACCTTTTGGTAACCAAAGAGTATTTTCATTGAAATCTCAAAATCGATTTTCTGCAGCATTATGTAACTTGTTCTGTACTACATATATTACTCTTTACATATACGTATGTATAGAAGAATGTAAAAAGGATATTTAAAAGTTTCAACAAAACAGAAGGGAACATACTTTTTATGTGGGTTCACAGCACGTTTCACACACCTTCTGTTGCTGGGATTTCATTTCAGGAAGTGACTCCTAGTATACACAACAAGCGTGTACATTTTCAGGCATTTTTCTTGTAGGTCTACTAACCCTAAACTTAATATTATGTTTTATAGGATATTTCAGGCAGAAAAAGGACTATTTTTTTCTATTAAAAAATTATGTTTATGATTTCTTTACTTTCTACAGAAATTCTTAGACACGCACTTCAAGAATAGTTACAAATAATAATAATAATAATAATAAAATAAATGCTCAAAAAGACATAGTGAGCGTTTTGACATATTCTCACGGCAGCATAATACAATAGTAAGTGTTTGGGGGAGCGATTCTGCAGTTCAAGAAAATGTTTTTGACAATGTTTGTAGCCAAAACTTCTGCCTATGAAAGTTTCAAAATAAAATATTTTACGTCATTTTTCTTTGTTTTTAGGGCATTTTTAAAACACTAAGCGCATTTTATTGATCATTTGTGTCAATGTTTTAGGTCATCAAAATCTGCCCCCTGATCATTACCTTTGCTATCAAAATTACGAAAATGAATTCATGCTATTGCTCCACATTATGTTCACACCTTACACAACGAATTCAGAGATTAGAAAGATCATACTGCAATGAAGGGACATTGCTTTACTCATGTTTCTGACTTTATGCTAATTATTCATGGAGTACCACAGGGTTGAATTTTAGGCCCTATTCTCTTCCAACTATACGTAAACAATATGCCTTTTTCCACTCAAAACAAAAGAACAGTTCTCTTTGTTGATATGAATATTTTTTGCAATAAAGAAAGAGTAAATATTACAATGTTAGATATTTCAAATTGTTTTCATACATCAAACAAATTGTAAATGATGAGAAAATAGTTTCACTTAAGTTCTCTAACAAAATAAACAATTGCATACTTCATTGAAAGTGTATTTGAGACTGATTAATGTTATGATAATATTTTTGGGTCTCTCAATTCAGTTCATTTTGTTTTATATTCAGAATCAATTCAAATTCAGTCCCCCATCATACTGCTCATTGTGTAAATTTCAGGTGTATGTTCATTCTTGCTTAAGATATGGTGTAATATTCTGGGGAAAAACATTCTGTATCTAAGAGACTTTTAGATTAGAGAAAAAGTGTATGAATAATAAGCAAATCCCACCAGTGATTCTTGTCTCTATTAATCTAGGAGTTCTATCATTTCCTTGCCTCTTTATCCATGGTTTTTGTCAAATATAACTTTCTTAAGATTGAGTTTGATTTCTTCAGTGAGCATCCAACAGTAGTCAGCTAACAAATTGACATCAAGATTTCCTTGTAAACGTTTCTCAAAATCACGGACACCCTGTTGAAATCTTTCCCCATATGATCCCAAGATTTCAGGAAAATAATCCATACGGGAGTGTTAGAAATTAACTTTTAACCTCATCTTGCATCATTGAGCTTCATATGCTGATATGCTGCCAGCATGCATTGTACAATGGTATCTTAGTAAAGGTCCTTAGTATTTCCCAAAACCTGTGCACTACATTCTTGAAAGAGTCCCGAGCTTCTTTTCCCTCATCTCCCATTGTTTCCATAGAGAGGGGATCCATTATAAGTTTTCTTATGATGGGGCCAGTGAAAACTCCCTCTTAATTTGGCTTCAGACAGTCACGAGAACTTTGAACACAAATATTTGAAACAATTTCTATCTCTTGGCAGTAATTTGACAAAATGCTTCATAAGCCCCAATTTAATATGAAGATGTGGTAATAATACTTGTTCTGGGGAACCAAAGTTGTATTGATAATGTTTGTCTTGCTGGGGGTAAACTACATCAAAGAGGCCAATAAATTTTTGTTCAGAGCAGCTGGACAAAAATAACCCATAAATAAAGAAAGTAAGAATATTTTGTATAACCTCTTTGCTGACCCAACAATATAGTTAGTATTTTGAAATCTGCACAAACCATCCATTTATACTCTTGATATCCGATTTTCTCAAGAATTGCAACAAAATCATTGTAGTTTTCTTTCATATGAGCCAAGTGTCCAATAAGATGAGATGCAAATCCATTTTCATTTCGCAGAAAGACTGCTTTGAGGCTAGTTTTAGTCGAATCGATGAGTATGCACCATTCTGATAAATCATTTTATTTCAAAGCACTTCATGGGCCCATGATAAATAATTACAATATACCAGATTTCCCTCTTGGAGAATAAAAACTTAGAAAATTCTCTTTCAATGCCTGTTCCAGGAACACGAAGTCTCAGATGATAGCAGGTTTTTGTTTTTTATCCTTGATCCTAGTAATTTGGCTGAGTTTTTTGAAAGATCTAAGTCTCTTACTAGTCATTGTGCTCAGTCTGAGAAAAAAGTTTGAAGTCTTTCGTTAACATAAAAATGTGAACTATATTCATTCTGGGAACCAAATGCATCTGAGTAGTGTAACTCACTCAAGATGTCATCTAAATTAGAAAGTGGCATTGGAAATGGTATTTCAGAACCATGGGACACTGGATGAATAACCGAGTTAAGGTTAGGGTAAGATAGTTTGTATTTTAAGGGTAAAAATAAAGTAAGATCTTTTTTGGATCTTCTGCAAGTCATATGAGAAGTATCGTTTGAATGCTCAATATAAACTGATAGTAGTATAAATTTAACTTTTTTTTTTTTGCTTATTGAAACATGATTTAATCCAACTACAGATTGTTTTTCTGTATTCCTTTGTACTCTTAGAACCCCAGATAACAAGTCTAAACTTTCACATATTACTATCAACTTTTAACCCATTTCACATGGTCATCCAACCTTCCTGATAACGCTAAAACTTACTTTATCCACCACCCCTACTACTAATCTCTTCAACCATTAACCTTTTCTTGCATTTACTGCCAAGTTCAGCTATAATTGATTCAAGAATATGTATAAAAATCCAATGGAGTGTTTTTACTTGCAGCCCTGTGTAATTGTACAGATAAAAATGAAGGGCAAAAATAAAAAAAAGCAGATTGTGTGAAATATAAATACAGAGGCATATTATTTTTAATATTTTATTACAACCATTACTAAACAGTAGTTTCGAAATTTTAAATTATCATAAGATATTGCCCTAGATGGGAAAGAAATAGACATAATTCTATTAGCGAAAATGTGGAGTATTATCATTAATTTTCAAGTAGTTAGCAAAACAGTTTGAAACTGTTTTAAAACAAATGTTTAAGTATTAAAAACCAAGATATTTTAATACTTGAAAGTGGAGTGTTGATTGAAACAGTTCAATGCCTTGCCAAAAACTTGTATGAAAGTCATGGGGTCAGCATCAAGATGCTTTAGATAAATGGGAGGTTGTCGAGTCCCCCCCCCTTTTTTCTTTATCTTTTTTTCTCTCTCCTCCCTTCTTTCCTTTCCGGGAAATCTCAGTAGAAAATATGACTAATAAATAAAGTTTACACCCCTAAACACTCAACCAATTGCTCCCACACACCAGTGATCAAGAAATGAACATAATATGAAACAAGGATCATTACATAACTCAACTAACTGCATTATTAGAGAATTCTAGGAATTGCATCCCAAGTGCCATCGCGAGCTTGCTATTCTGATGGAACACAATCACTCAACTTTGAGAATACCTCTAGACAATCATACAATTACACAAGTACTCACATTTGATCACATTCATTTTCTTGTAACTGAGTAAGTTTTGCCTGCAATTCATCACGCTCTCTCTCTCTTTCCCTATTCATTTCATCCATTACACGCTGCACTTGCACCAACTCCTGCCGCAATACTGCTGCATCATCAATACTCTCTCTGAAAATTAAAAAAAAAATAAAAGAAAAAAAATAAATAAATATAAATTATATATTTATTTACAGATTTTATAGTCATAAAATACTAATCTGAAATTAACACAATGAGAAAAGGATTGATTTTGCTTGGTACTCTCCTCTCGTTTAATTTATAATTGGAGAATTGTAAAATTATTTTATGGAATTAACTACACATAGTGCCCCAAGTATGGGTAATAAAAAAAACTCATTTTATTGGAAGTAACATACAAATAATTTTTTTCGTTGTAACTGCACATAAAATAAATAATTTAAGGAAATATAAGTCATTTTCTAAAATTGCATGAATAAAGTGGAGTTCCTTGCACACGACCATCGTCAGATGAGGCAAAAATCAAGCAAAATAATAAAAAATTTTCTTTTTAAACATTTTAGGAAGAAGTGGATAATTAACCAAAATATGCCTTTTAACGGGATTTACCAAAAAGGACTAAAAGAAGGGTAATAATGCAAAGGAATAGCTAATATTAGGGCATCGAATCGAGAGTCCGCCGCCCGTTTAGGGCATCTCCGTGGTCCACCCGCCCGTTTAGGTTGGCATTCAGCAACAACGCGTTAAGTTCTTCTGATCATCGCTAATTCAATTGGCACGTCATTTTCTTTTCTCGGATGAATGTCGCTAGCATCTTAGCCGTTCTCGAAACGTGCCTTTGGGGCCTATTATAAAGAGCGAAACGGTGGGTTGTATGCGTCCCGATTCTCGAGTGTTGCTTGCTGGGTTTTTTACTGTTTCGTTAGTAACTAACGAAACTGTTGTTATCTCTGCAGACGAACAGGAAGAGGACATCGTGAAGTTAAAATGAACACAAGCCGCTGCGCCTACTTTAAATGACAGGGCCATGAATGATAATTTAGAAAGGTTGATCGGTCCCTCTGCAACTACAATTGACGGAGGAAGTTACGGAAATAAATGAGGTGCCCAGAATAATAACGTCAGCGCCCAACCGAAGTTCGTTTCGAGAAAAAAGACTGTTGTCGTTCACGTTTAGTTTCACTCCGCACACATTTTTGAAGGTAGAATTTGAGGGTTTTGCCTAATCCCAATTCATTAGATATTTCAGTATATGATAGGTACGTGGCAAGAGTTACCCATCACGCTTCTAACTGAAAATGCGAGGTCGACTGGAATCTGCCATTATTATCTTGAGCACCTCAAACTTTTCCACCGGGTACTCCGGGGATTTTTATTACGAGTTTTAAATCTAGCTTTGTGAAAATATTTCTCAAAATCCTTTTGTTGGAGTCAGTGGTGGGTTTGACAATTTTTTCTTTGTAGGCTTGAACCCTGTCATATGCATATTAATTAAATTCTAATTTGAGCTTCATACGAACTATCTTTATATCCCACCTGTCAATTTGGAAGAGTTCAATTCTTCTGAGTTTCTGAACGTGGCCTTTCTCACCATAATTTAGAATAACTGTGTATTCCACAATTTTCACGTCCATACAGAAACTTTTCTAATCTCTCTTTCACTGGTCACGCACGCAGTCCACGAGATATCCGGGAAACCTGAACTGCATGACCAGAGTGGGAGACCGTTGATAATTCTGGGCAGTTTTACTGTGCGTATGGACAAACTTATTTTACTGCACGCGTCAATGGTTTAAATAATAACTAAGCACATGGGTGGGCAATACGTTTATTCTAATTATAGTTTGATTCGTTTCTGACGCACTCTTGTTGCTTTCATTCAAGAAACCTGAAGATATAATTTCAAAATTTATCATCATTGTAAAGACTTGAGCTCGAGTAATATGCAACTTCTAAGAATGAATATTCGCAGTGCCTACATCACCCTCCAAAGTGCGAGTCAGAGTAATGAGCGAGCAATGCGATTGTATCTTCTATAAACAAACTACGTGTGAACGGACTACTGCCCATCATTCGCTTCTTGCGGCACGCTTCTGCTCCAGTCTCTTCCGTACCTTCCGTGATCACACCAAGGAGCTAGAATATAACTTCCTAACGTGTCTTTTTCTAACGTGGTCCATGACATTAGGTCATTTTTACCCCCTCTGACGAATAAAATTAATCTCTTTAATAGGGGTAAGCTCATTTCTGAGGCCACGAGCCCCGTTGAGGAGGCCGTTCACGAATTATTAAAGATTCATTTTCTAAGACAGGGGTATAACGATGTCCTGGGCCACATTAGAAAAAACGAAGAATACTACATAGAGTGACTGTAGCGCCTCCTCCTTTGCAGCAGATTCAAGTCATATTTTTTGCAATCAAAGCAGCTCTGAGTATACTAGTAGTCAGTGTGGCGCTTGTTAATGTTGGGTGGGCGCGGGCTGCACGTAATATAAATCCTCTTACTCAGTGTTCTCACGCCCAATAACCAATTATTTAAAAACGCAATAACAATATGTAAGGAGAACGAATTGAGAAACTTTAACCTATGCAGGAAGCAACGTGTTTTTAATGTCATAAGAGTGGAAGCTGTTGATATGTTATTGTAGTTAGCATAACGCCTAAAAGTGAATGTTATGGTAATAAGTAAACAAAGATCACAAATACGGTTACAAACCTAAAAAAAACATCTTTATGGTTTGGCAACTTTAAGTTTCACAGTTATATGCCGAACATTTTGAAGGAATTGTAAATATTGTTATTCGAACCACTAATATAATTTAAACACAGATAAATGTAAAGACAATAATATAGAAATAAGATCTGATACAAACAACACGTCGATTCAGTACAACAGTTCTACACACCACCATCAGGCCAACGCCTTCTAGATTCGCCCTTTTAATTGAGGATGCCGTTGATCAGGCACCTCTCGTGTGTTGACTGCGTGTATGATGGCGGCCCTTAGTTCGGCGAGCGTCCACAAGAAGCGCTGAAAGCAGCCACTCTATGTATTATATTCTAACTCGTTGTGTTGCGCTCAGAATTGGAACGCGAGTGGTCGAGTGGATTGTATTGTAATCCATTAAAAAAATTACTATAAACAATATTTTACGAAGAAATCGTCTTTTAGTACAAATGTAGATAAGTAATAGTATCTAAGATACCGACCAGTTACGAAATACAATTAAATTTATTAGAAGGTGCAGGTGGCGTACACAAAGTAAATATATCATCTAATATAAACTTTTTGGGCAATTTTCGACGAGCAGATTCAGGAATCTAATATTGCACACCTGACAGTCAATCTTTTATGAAGTTTGCATTAATTTTTTGGCAAGATTTTTAACCGTCTTATATGCCATATCTGATTTCTGAAGCTGTTCAACGAAAAATAGCCAAAAAGTTTTAGATTACTAATTGAGAGTGACGAATAATAGAGTTTAATAATAAAAATGTCATATCATTGGTTTACAGCTCTAACCTATTGTTGGAGGTAACCAAAATAACGCTACGAGGAAGCAAGTAAGGTATAATGCCAAAGGAAGATGACCTATGAATTTAAATATTTTTAGAACTTTGATGGCAAAGAATTTGAATCAGTTAACGTAAGGAATCAACATAGTGCAGGTAGACAATCACTTGGTGGAGTAGAGTTGCCACAGAATATGATGGAAAGAAGCGAGTAACACCAACTAAGAGCGAGACTTCTTAGAATTCTTGGATTACGTGCCTCCAGAGCACCGTCATTTTACAGAGGTTTACGGAATGTGAGACACACAGGGCTGAAGAATCAATATTGATCTTAATTATGACTACCTGGAGGTTTATTGAATTTTGGTGCCTCGCTTGAGAGGCAATATATAAATAATTACATATTTACTGATAAGGATACATTAATGCCTTTATTACATACGTTTACTACTAGTACATAAAATGAAAACTATACATAGGAACATTTTCTTGTCATAATTTTCTCTTTCTCTCTCCCTCCCTCTCCCTCTCTCTCCCTCCCTCTCCCTCTCTCTCTCTTTCTCTCTCCCTCCCTCTCTCTCTCTTTCTCTCTCCCTCCCTCCCTCTCTCTCTTTCTCTCTCCCTCCCTCTCTCTCTTTCTCTCTCCCTCCCTCTCTCTCTTTCTCCCTCCCTCCCTCTCTCTTTCTCCCTCCCTCTCTCTTTTTCTCCCTCCCTCTCTCTCTCTCATCTCAATTTCAGCAAAATGATGGTTAATCGATTTACGTGTTCATGTCCTCAATTTTAGGAGTTTGTAGAGTAAATGGAGAGTAAAAGCCCGATTTTCAAGGAAACTGAATTGAGCTATTTACTGCAAATTAACATGTCAATGAAACAAATAGATACCATCAAAATTTAATCAATTCACATACATAAATTTCTTACCTGTGAGCTAATTGGGCTTCAAGAATTTTGTGTCGTTCTCGAAGCTGATTAAGTTCACGATCCATGTCATCAACAGTGGCCTTCAATGTCACATTACTTTGCATCAACCGAACAACTCTGGTTTCTAAAGTAGCTTTCCTACTTAATGCCTGTTGGAGTTTTTCCTGCAAATCTTGCACATCTGTAAATGGAACTAACACAAAATTATCTGTCATTAATCTCTAAATTTGACAAGGAATGTTGTCATACACTAATGAAGAAACAATTTGTAAAAATGTAAATACAGTAGAATTCTATTCGAAATTTCAGATAATCCGAACAAAAATCGAGAGGGAGGAAAAATAAACAAAAAAACGAACTCTTAATTTATGAAAGGAAAGGCATGAAGAAGGAAGTCAACCCAATTCTGAATACTCTACGTAAAACAGCGCGACACAAACTGTGCTTCAACGCTTCTAAACAACTTAGAAACTACTACGCACGTGCAACCCGCAAAACATTAAGGAAAAGGCAACATACGTTACCATCGCGCATATCCCGGAAAACAATGGGTCCCAAACCCTTGAAAACAAGTCCTAGACACGAGTTGTGTATCTCATGAAGTTATCTGCAAAATAAGTCGTTTTTGAACATTTTACAACATTTTTGGAGAGAACACTACTCGGGGCACAGGTTGTTAAAAGCATTCGACGTTGCGTTCCAGCAAGAAACGTTTAAAACAAGATTCACAACGTACGAATGTCCGCATGAGCGCTTCAGAGGTAAACTGTGAAGTCACATTTTTCGTAAAATTAATTGCAATACATCATGAGACATTTTGCCAATTCCTTTTTAGAACAAAAGGCAGTCAAACGTTTTGCCAGTAGTATCAGATTTATCTTCAGTTAAAAATACGCCTTGTTCTTGATATGGATGCAATTTTGCATTTTTTGCTAGTATACAATGGGAATTCTCAAATATGGATGACCAGTTGTAAGAGAGCTTCAACATCGTATCTTTGCGACTGTGTCAAATTATCTTTTCAACTATGGCAGTGGGCAGCTAAAAATATCTTGTTTAGAGCCGGACGTTTGGCAAAATGCCTTTTTATTGTTGTAAAGATTTTATGACTTAACAATAGGCATTACTTAATTATACTTCTCGAGTTGTTTTGGTAGATTTTTATTTCGTGTTTTTTTCTGGTCTATTTTAACTACCTATGACTATTTTTGCCATTTTCCCTTACTTTCGCTTTTTTCGTCATTATCTTCGTTGATTTCAGTATTTTAAAAACCCAAAGGAAAAGGAAGGTGATCAAGACAAAGGACCGGTCAAGATCTGTTCGCTCATGAGGAATCTCATCCTACCTTTTGAGTTTGGCCTCCTATCCCTTTGGACGACAGGTCTATCTGTATACGATACTTCCTTCTCAGTGGTGGCGATTACAAACTGCGAAGATCGAGAAATATTTGTCTTCCCTTACGTCATTTCAAGATTCAAAAGGGAGTCCACAATAGCATTTCAATAAGACAACGTCGGGAGTAAAAGAAAGTAGTCATCATATCGGGTAGGTATGTGGAATCAAGATTACAAAGAAATGATATTTCCTTCCATGTATGTCCTACTGCAAATTTTAGTTACATGCAATAGTAGAGGTAGAATAAAAACTAGAATCATTTGAATTATTATTTTTTTACAATTCCTTTTAAATGTGATTTTTTTATTCCTTACATAGTTTTTTTGAACCTCTATTGTAGCCAGAATAACTGCCTTTTGGAATGTCTATTTTAGCAGAAATAAATACCTTTCTGCCCATCTATTTTAGGTAAATTAAGTGCCTGAACTTCTAGGCCCTAGTCAGGTTAATTAGGATAATCCTCCTCTCAAATTCGAACACACATTCTACATTCCCGCAGGAAATTTTAATGTTTTCACAGAGTCTAACTGCCTTTCAGAGAAGCGACAAGGCAATGCCTTCGACGGCTGCCGCGCACCTTATCGCAACGGGCGAGAGCTTATTTCACGATGTCTTTTCAGGATCAAACGCAATTAGATTGCGGAAAAGGTACCCGAACGAGAAGAACCATTGAGCGATATGAAGGCATGAAAGAATTCTCTCATTGCGCCTAGCACCATGAAATGAAGTCCAAATGAGGTGTGACGTGCCACCCTTGGAGCTAGTACATCAGCTTATTCCAAAGGCGGCGCGTCACTTGGAGTACTGTGGTTGATTTAATAAGATGTGAAAGTTGAAGGGAAGGGGAGGGATACTTTCTCAAAAAGAAACGGTGATCAAATTGCTGTACCATTTACTCCTAAAGAGGAGAGAGTGAGAGGGAAAGGTGATATGCCAGGTGAGAAGATGCATGGGAGTCGTCCTCTTACCCCATCGCTCCGTGGAGGTGTTCCGGCAGGGGCGGAGCTCTGAGACCGCGTCTTCGGGAGGACTCTTGGTGTGTTCACTGACTTCCTCAATGCCTCTGGCCCCTCGCTTGCACGCTCGCGTCGTTGCCTGTCGCTCGCCTTGGGAGTCGCCCTCGCCGCGGCGCGATGTCGTAATGGAGGCTCGCCACAATGGAATTCTCCATCCTCGCAAGTTAAAATTCAGAGTTGTGCCACTCTGCTTTGCATCGAGAAAGGAACGTTATGTGAGCATGATACAACGGGCACCAAAAGGACGACTATTCCTGGCTTCGTGGCTAACTTTTGCTGCCTCGTCAGTGATTTCCTTTCCAGTGATTCTTGGGTGGCTAGGAACCTACAGAAAAACCCTCGTTATTAATAACGAGCATTCGGCGATGTATTTGGTGTGCGATGTTTATTGTCGGAGGCTCGCGAGAATATGAGAGGGATTGAAGAAATATCTGCAAACTCCGCCTTCCCCTAATGATGCCGATTGGACGTTTTTAGTGTTGCCTACAGTGCATATTTAATTTAATTTTACGAGCACGTTTAACGATATACATTAATCTTCAGACGTGTTCTCGAACTCGAGAATCTCTCTTCTTTCGTTTTTACATAGTTGAATTATGAATAAAGGTATCAACGAGCATGGTTGCAAACAATTTAAAACTAGTCATCTTCGCTCTCGAGTACTAAACGTACTTGCGTTGGCACACGAACTCCAGTTTTCATTTTATAGAATTGCTGACAAATCAAATTCCCCGTTCCGTCTCCTTGCGTCACTAGCAAAAAGAAAGCACAAGAAAAAAGGCACTGACAGAAGCAACATTCGCGCCCTAAAGCAAAGCAAGGGGCCATCATAACATTTGCTCAATGAACCAAGCAGTACATATGTAGCGGATGTAACTATAGGAATAAAAAGCTCGAATCGCTAAGTCATTTTGCAAAAACTATCAGTACCCATGGTGTGGTGTTATGCCAATGTTATTTCTTGAAAATGCATCAGAAATGTACTGGGCGAGTATTAACGGATATTAGGTGGATGGGGGTAAAGATGATGAGTATATACCTCCAATTACTAAGAATTATTCAGCAGGAGAAAATACATAGGGTTGGGAATTTCGCAATATAGGAATCTATCAAAGTGTCTTGTCTTCAGCTCTTTTTCGGCGACTTCGTCCCAAGTCCCGGCCGTAGAATACAATCCACAATCTCCAGCCTCGACCAAAAGACATCTGATACAACGTGTGCGCGATGAGCGCCTGTGCTGATGCAAATATCGGCTTTAAGGATGATATTCAAAGACCGGCGATGGTGACCAATACACAAAACGTCCATAATCCAAAATGGAACGGATGAGGGTCCTATAAAAACCGCACGGGATATTCAGAACCAAGATACCACTAAAGTTCCAAAGGTTCAATGGTCGCACCAACCGGCTCTTCCGCTTTCATATGTTTATATATTATGATAGGCTTTTGTCGAATATGTGATCAAGGAGGGTTGCAGTTTTGACAAAAATTGGAACCCTCGAGAAAAAAGATTTCGATGGTTATGGAGGTAATGAATCCTGCAGAAATGACACGCAGCTGGACTTTGAAATTGAGAACTTGAATCTATGATAATCACTCCATTCATACCATCCCTTAAGGAGGAGATGCAAATGCCAAATATTCTAATGAATAACTTGAATATTCTAGGAAGAGTGAAACAATGGTGAAATCATTAATGAGCGATGCTTCCACAGTCTCTCGTATGACTGACGCTACTGTCGATAGCATTGGCAGAGTGACGCTTAGAATCGATCACACTTGGACAAGCTTTAGAAAAATAAATTATCTCCCAGTCACTCTACCTCAAAAAATTAACCGGAGATTTTTTCAGCCAGCGGGAAATGAATAAATATTAAAATTAGCGACATGAACGTCACAACCCCGTTCATTTTGCATTCCTCGTACGTCTTTACAATCAAAGAATTTCACCAGCTACACTTCAGTCCCGTGATTAAACTCCGTTAAATTTCGAGGTTAACCAAACTACGGTCGAGCTCGGGTGAGTAGAAAACCATGCCTGTGGGTCGGAGTTTTCCTTTCATTTGATAATCTTTTCTCTTCGTCAGATCGACATTCAATCGCAATAATTTTAGTAAGTTGACGAATCACAGTTTGAAACCCACTGAATATCTTAATTCCTTTTGCAGGTTTTATCGCAAAAACACTTCTCAGCGGATTACTTTCCTCATTACATGACATTAAAAGAAAACTTTGCTGGTTTGTCAGTCTCCTAAGAAGCATTTTCAGTTTACAGTCTTTTCGCAGTCTCATTTTCCTTGCAAAACAGAATAGGAAGTGTGTGTGTGTGTGTATGTATATATATATATATATATATATATATATATATATATATATACATATATATATATATATATATATATATATATATAGAGAGAGAGAGAGAGAGAGAGAGAGAGAGAATAACAATGTGACCCCAGTGGGAAGCCACGGTGGCACGAAGATATTAAAGGGACTGTCACACGGTGACAGGTAGGGCGAAAGGAAGAGTGTCGGAGTTCGCACACGAACGCAGGCTAAGCCGCCTCACACTATTCGCGAGGCACTGCTCATGCAGGTACGCATGTAGACCCCCCCCCCTCAACTCCCGGGTCACCTAATCCCTCCGACATGGCATTCGGGTATTGGAAGCCGGCGAAGCAAAGAAGGCGACAAGAGTGAAGAAGGCTTGAAATAGAGAGCAATAGAATGGAAGCCGGACAGAATACATGGCTCTTCTCCGCATCCCCATCTGGAAGTAGGTATTCCCATTTCGACATGTTGGACTGAACAATTAATTTGATGAGAGTAAAATCCAGAAGAAATTAAACATATTTAAATGGTAATCCTTGTGGAGTCCAGTCCCTATTATGACTAAGCGCAGTTTACCTCTTGAAGCACTCGTTTTCACACTATTTACAATTTGAATATAAACACTGTATACATTTGTACAAAGATTAAACTATCCAATATCGCAAATATCGGTGAAGTAGCTATAGTTATGCTTCAGCACCTCGAAATTTTCTCGAAATATTCAAATTCTTACAATATTTGATCATTCAAAAAAATATAACACATGATGAACACATGAATTAATGTTAAAAAGAATTTAAAGATATACTATTAAGACATTGCTGCAAATGTACAGACTGAGGTAAATTTTGTCGAAAAGCGCCAAACGAAAAACAGCTTCTGTGAAAATTTTCTCTTATAGAGAGCGGATTTCTCAAAAATGTCGTAAAAAATAAAAATACTTTGGCAGTTCACGTGACAAGAAAAGTTTTCAAAAGGGTATTTGGGGAAAAGAAGAATACAGATCAACTTACATATTATAAATATTCAAGATACCCAACATTAAAGTTATAAAAGAATACTTACTGTCCTCCACTACAATAGATGAATTGGTTCCATCTGCACGTACAGATGTATCCTGCGAAGATTAGGAAAATTAAAAGGCATATGAATGAAGTAAAGACAGAAAGGAATGTACCATAACATCAAAATATTACAATACAGTTACATTTGTGGGTACAGAAAGTAATTAGATGAATGATACTTAGTGTAAAATCTTTATAAGCGAAGATCGAAACAAAACACGAAGAAATTCATATGAATAAATGCACTTCAAACTCATAAGTAAACAATTCAGCCAACGCTCCTTTTAACAAATCTTGACTATTTAGTACCGGTCTGTTCAAGGTCCCCGCTCACCGAGCCGGCTCGCAAGCTCCCGCCCGCTCCGTGCCCCTTCCGCAGACACGAAGGGGAATATGTGGGAGGGCGAATTCGGAAGGACAGCAGGTACAGTAGGATTAAAGAAATACGAATAATCCTGAAATGAATTTCCGTTCAATTTTACCAACATCAACTCAGGTTAATAGATAATAGAAATTAGTATGAAACAATTTGAATTCCTTTAGCGATTTTCATATTACACATAACCTATATTGCAGGTAATATACGTTCACTAAATAAACTTATTACATGAATTTGCATTAAAACACAAAACAGTATTTATTGGCACGTAGGCGGCGAAATTAAATCAAATTTGGCGCCATGCTTGGACCTCCTTCACTTTGACAATTCCTTGAGGTATTAAAGAAAACATGACATTTCAAACTTCGCGCCTTTGAGATTCTCACACAAGAAGCAAGTTTTCGAAACTCTTTGATGCAAACCAACTTCTTCCAAAAGTGACAGGAAGATCGCACCACCTCCAAGCCTGCCGGTAAAAAAGCTTTACACATTGTAGTAATTTCCAGAAATTCGATTTTTTTTCACATAAGACGCGCCGAGATCGCATTGTTTGAGAATTTGGAGCTGCGAGCAGGTTCGTAGCGATCGTACAGAGAAGCTAAATAATTCGTGTATGGGCGCATTGAAAGTTGGTTGTGTGTGCTGGCAATCATTCCAAGCACGGCATACAGTCTCCGTGGCCCGGCTTTGATACGCGGCGAAAACAGCAGAAAGCATGAATAACGAATATAATTCGTAAGAAGAACGTCTATTGTCTCCCAGACAAAGGTTACCATGACAATTTCTTCAATACTTAATGACTCTTACGGCACGATGTTAATCTTGTCAAGTGTGAGTTTTTTCAGAATATTCTCGTCTGACGAGAACACAAAGGCTACGCACGAAACTTTTCGTCGCACTTTGTGCAAATGCTCTCCCAATCTAAGTAATATTTCGCAGTCTCACAGTATTACAATATACATTATTACATTTTATATTTATTTGCAAGTAAATCGAAACAGGACTTTCAAGTTGTTGGCTGCTGGATATTTTAATGAGTCAGGCATGTTCAGTAGCTGTATTATTTAAGTTCATCACGGAACACAGCAGAGAAACAGTACCTAATCATGCGGCAGGGGCGCGACGCCTTTGAGAGACCTTCCCCCGAAGGCGCTGCCCCTGCCCCTCCATTATTCCCCTTCTCGCCTTCGCAGCTGCCAACGAGCGCGGCTTGGCCGGCCTGGTCTGGCATATACTCCTAACTTAACACCCTTACAATTAATGCTTATTCATATTAATCACACAAATGAAGAATCCCTAATAAGAAAAGGATAAAATTGAACACTAATAATGTTGATGGCAACTGACGTATTTTGTTATCAAGTCCCTCCGTAGTCGTGCTTCCCTCACATGCTCCACATGAAGACAATTTGATTTGGAAAAGAGACCTCTTTTCTTCTACCATTTGTATAGTTTTAGGAGTCGTGTGTGTTTATATATATATATATATATATATATATATATATATATAAAATTACTCATTTTCACACTATATACAATTTACATATAAATACACTATGTACACCATATATACAAAGATGTAACCCCTCAATTTGCCTAAAAAAGATCGTCAAATCCAAAATACTGTTCAATCAACAAGCATCCCCCATACACACATACAGCTTAGAATGACCGATACCGTGACCTCCCAAAATATTTGTTTCCCCCTAGGATATAGTATATTAGGCAGGCGTGATTTCAGGTCGTAAAAAACATACCGTCATATTCTTCATGATAGTAGCAATATTCCGTAATAGTTTTTGCCTCAGAATATTTGCTCATTTCCAAGACTCGAGAAGTCGTTAGTGTCGTGTCTGAACTGCGAGTGCAGTGCAACGTGCGCTTGCCTTTGACGGCTGGCAGACTGACTAAGCGCCTGGCGGGTGCGATCCCCGAACGATTCAGGTGGCGTAATTTGCACTCCAATTACGACAATTCACAAATTTGCGTTTTTCTTCTTTTGCTTTCGATTAAAGTAGATTTTGTTTTCTTCGGCGATACTTTAGAACCATCCTTGGTTCTTCGATTCATAAGCAAAATCTGTGGATGTTCTAGAATAAAAATCATCAAGAAACTGCTCTGTAGCAACGAAGAGTTTTTCAGCAAAATACATTTGTTCATCTAACTGAGGAAAATGCGGAGATGTATATTTTGACCTCCTGAAATAACGTATCTGTATATGTATATAATTATGAGAATGTGAGTCATTTAAACAAATTATCAGCCATAACAAGATGGACAGTTACTCTAAATACTATGACGATTTCACAAATCAATTTTAACTCTGCTTTTGTTCCTATCCATGGGTATTCATGAGGTTCGAGTAGAGTAGTTTCATTTTCCAACAACGATGAGAGGCGGCTACTTCGTAGTACTTTGGTTCCGCTACAAGACAGAGCTTTTTAAACAGAGGTGATTGGGGGAGTAATAAAAAGGTCAAGAAAATTGGCGATTCATTATGTTGACGTGAAATGAGAGGAAATTTACAGAACATTGAGGAAACATGATGAGACCCCTTTTGGTCCACACAAATTTCACATGAATGACCAGTATTGGGACCCAGAGGTGGAAGGTGAATGACCATTATCACCACAGGTCGCGTCGGAATTCCTGACACTCACGTCTTTGATGTCCTTTTCCGCATTCCTAAACGAATTTCTCTGCAAGTTAAAGAAATTCCGACCTTGTCAAACGCCCAATCTTTTTTCTTGCAATATTTTAAAAGAGCTGGGACGGTATTGTGAATAAGTCATTTTATCCTGTTCACATGGAATGATACGATCTTATACCGAAAGTGGGTGTGGATTTCAATGAAAAGAACACATTGACTCGGAATGAAAATATTGATATATCAATGTGATATGTTCTTTTCTTTTTGATTTTTTTTCCTTACTGAAAATAACATTTTGATAAAAAATATCACAAATTATTCAGTTACAGAGACCGTGAAATTCATTCTTTGCAAGTAGGCACAAACTTATCAAAACTAGTGTCATTATACATAAAATTATAAAATTATTACATAATCTGTACTTTAAAAGGAGATAATATTCCTTTGTTTACACTAAATGGAAGTATGCAATTTAACTAAATTCATGCATTGATTATGTATTATAATGAAGGTAAAGCTTATTACACTCATTAAAATTATTCTTTATAAAATATGGCTTGTAAATTCTTATAGTGCTAATATTCTTTAATTTCAATTAACTCAAGAATACATCTTTATACCTTAACACTTTTACTACATGCACAGTGTCTTAAGAACATTACTGTGTCAGCTTTTGGAGCACTCCTTTTCTACAGGTGACAGCTAAAGGTGAAGCTCGCTTGTCATTTTCTTGTCAAAATTAATAAAAAAGTTGATTTTTTTATATACTAATATTCTCTAACTACATTATACAAAAGAATATAACTTTCCAAAAAACTTAAGTCAACCCCATATAATGTGTTTTCTGTTCAATACAGAACCAAACTATCACATATATTCTTAAGAGCCTTCCCTCAGTACATTTTACCTTCTCAAAACTAAAACATTGGATTAGGCACCACTATTGGCCATTTATTAGTCTTTTCACTAGTGTTGCCATGAATGTACCTACACTCCTAGCATGAGGGTCAACTTACTATACACATTTCCAATCATCAATTACAAAATAAAATACTTAAGATCATTGAGGCACATGAACCACTTAGTAAATGTTTACAAGTACATGATTTACATCCTCTAACATTGAACTATAATAAAGTACTAACAATATGTAAAACATCAAGTACTATTATTACACAAGTTTGCCTACAGATGAATTAAGAATAGGCATAATAATAGAGCTATTTACATGTATAATTAACCATCAAAGAACTTAAAAGTTACTAAGAAAGTTTGCTTCCCAGTTAAAAAATTAAAACATTATTGCAAACTTAATTTTGCTGTTACTGGGGGTGTGTTGACGAGTGAATATGTGGAGTATGTATGTGTATGTCTTTTGTGTAATGTAGAGTATGTATGCGTTTGTGTCTTTTGTATTCTTGATAACTGAATTGCTTTGTTCGCATTGTAAAGCCTACTTGGTTGTGTAATTATTTTGAGTTTTCAGTACTAAATGTGTGTGTGTTGTATGTTGACGAACAATAAAGCTTTACCACAACGTTCTTACAGTAGAATTCGACATCTGTAGTACACGTTTGTTAATGCTGATGCGTTTACACTTAACTTGGTATGGTATGGCGTACGGACGTGAGGGATTAATTTGGTGAAATAGGGTGGTGTTTCGCTAAGCAAAGGAATTTTTAAAATACGCGGCCCCTACACGCCCCGCGCAGTTGCGTCCAGGACTTGCTGCGCAGGGCACGTGTAGCGCGCCAGACCGTCGGACATCGCAACAAGAGTGACCGGCCACTACGGCAGTGTCATCGGGTGCGAGTCGCTCCGAGGTAGCACCAGCGAAGAGTGTTGTGCTTTCCCCCGGGCTGAAAGCATGAACCCCACAGCTATTCATTGCCCAATGACAACCCGGAACGGCGGAGGGAGCACCAGGACCCGACGCAAGGTGTAGAAGTGGGTTGCGCGTCGCACGAGGAGAAGAGCAACCCCAAGTCATTGAGGAGGACTGCGCAGTCACGTGCCATGATAAC